TTTTTTTTTTTTTTTTTTTTTTTTTGCTGGGTCCTTCCCTGGTCCTTGCACGGGCTGGCCACCCGGGACCCGGGCGGCCCGGCTGGTAGCCTAGTTAGCACCCAATTCCCCAACACAAACCCGAAAAACATTTCTGAAAAAATACAGGACAACTCAGCGACCATGTCCCTCATGATAAAAAATGACCGAAAAAAAATTTACTGCTTTTTTTTTGTTGTAATTTGTTTGAATCGATTTTCGTTTTTTTTTTTTTTTAATYTTAAACGAAGTTGGATTCCAAAATAACAAATATAGAATTGTAGGGGTTTCCAAGCCCTACAACCCTATTTTATTTTCATTGTTTTACATTTTTTAGGGGTATTAAAATTTTTTTGAAACCAGGCTGCGGACAGGGCCTCATTGGCCACGGCCGCAGCCAAAGTTTTCGGCCACGGCGGCCGAATCGCCCGCGGCCTGGGTCGCGGGTGTCACATAGCCGCCAGGTGGTTGTAACGCCCACGAACACGAGAGGAGAAAAAGAAAAGAAAGCCGATGCATCATCTGAATCGTGAAGAAAGAAGAAGACCAAAAAAGAATAAAAATTCCCTTCAGCCCCGAAACAGGTCGGGTACATTCTTATGAGAAGCAGTACTCCTAGGCCCTCACTGAGACCGTTTCAGCATATCGCGGAAACGACCTGCCACACTGGCAGGCCAATCTAAGGAAAATGAAAAGGAAAAGAAAAGGTGTATCCATCTTAGATACAGGACACGTCCAGGTGTGAGCACGACCGTTTGGACTTTGTTTCCCTCGCACCTCCTGTACGCAGTGGAGTTCTCTTTTTTTTTTTTTTTTTTTCAATGGCAGTGTCGCTGATAAAACAACCGACCACTTCGGAGTCCAGCAACCCCCGCCAACGTGACGCATTAACCGCCGTGTTGGGAATTTTTTTAGCAGAGCGAGGTATACTGGTGATTTAAGAACCGCTCCCACTTCGTACAGAACGAGTATATCCAATAGCATTCATAATTCACAAATAGAGACCAAGCGAGCCTCCATTCACAATCACAATCATCGTGAGCAACGGCATTCGTTACTCGGAAGAAATAGCAACCAACCTCTCCCCTTGATTCAGTCTCGAAATCATTGCGAGCAGAATCATTCCGATTCCACTGTCAGCAACAGTTCTTACTCCAATAAATTTCCCAGTGATTTTTTCAAAGTTCCAGCTGCCGCAACTTTTGGGGCTCAGCCACCAAATCAAATTGCCTGGAGGGCCGGGCCAAAAGGAGGCCCGCACCATTGCGTGCAGCACATTTCCGCCCCACGGAAAAAGTGCCTCGGAAGTACCGGTGGTTTAACAGCCTACCAGGGCCACCAACTCCTTGCGCTGCGCCCGACCTCTTTCACAACCGACTGCCAGGAGACTCCAACCAGGAAAATCTTCCAAGGGGTCAGTTCTAATCACTGTTACTAATAGCATGATAGGTCCACCAAATCTCTCTTGTGCTGCACCTAACCTATATCTCCCCAACGACTGAAACAGGACTTCAACCAGGAACTTGTGCATGTCTCGCCATGTCTACTACATGCAACTGCACGAGATGCACCTGAACTGCAGCTGTGTGATGTGGTTCCTTTCATATTTAGTCCACGAGGGACATCGTTTCTTTCAATTTTCGCCCGTCCCCGTCTGGCATTTTTTTCTTTCCATTTTCACCTCTGATGTGGTTTCTTCTCTTTGTTTTCACCCCCCGGACCCGGATACGTATGTCTCTGGAAACGTCAACTCCAAAGTTGAGAATACCTTTCACACTGGTCAACCAAACCCGGATACGTTGACCAATGCCTCTGGACACATCAACTCCACTCAAAGTTGATAATACCTTTCACACTGGTCAACCAAACCCTATACTGGTCAACTAAACCCTATGGAACTGGCTACACCCTTTACAGGGAAAAAAAGGCCAACATTACTGCAAGCAAGCCTGTGTTGACGCCTGTACTCGCGATGCCTGTGAATGGACCGCCTGCGGTCTTCAGTGCCCAGCCATGCAGTCCCACTTGCCGAGTTGCTTGTTTTCTGTTTTCTTTTCTTTTCTTTTCTTCAAAGAAAAAATATCATCATCAAGTGAGAGACGGTTAACGGGGGCCCAAACATTCGCCGTTTTCGTTGGCAATTGCGGTGCAAATTTCATCACAAATTTTAAAAACAAACGATATAAGACCATAGTGCAAACATCAAAAAAGGCACTTTGAAACCCTAACACAAAGACACTGTCCGAGTCAAAATGGAGCGTCCCACTAATTCAACAAAATGCCAACTTTTTCATTATTGATCCAAACATGTCAAAACTGCACACATGAGGTACCCTAAAGAACATATATATCACACAAAAAGAAAAACAAGAAAAAAAAGCAAAAAATCAGCACAATATGACAGTTTCAGTGCAATTCGGTGCAAAATTCGTCGAAAACAACACCCCTGGTTAACCACGTGTGAACAATTCGTGGGTGTACCAACTGAGCCAGGCTCATTGCTTTGTCACCGGCTGCCAATCCACAATTCGCAGCCAAAAGAATCCAGGGAAGATGAGAAACAAAACCACCACCAAATGGACCCCCCACGCAGGGATGGGGAGGGGTAGGAAAAGGAGAAACGGACAAAGAAGGCACACATAAAGAAGCTGATTCTGTAAGCAAGCAGACTACACGACAACTGGCATCATTTCTTGAAAAGACGATTCCCAGGCCACGCAATTGTACCTACGCTAACAGCAGAGCCTCCGTTGTCCTATTATTTGGACAAGAAGAGCGTATTGCGGCAGCCTGTCAGTGCCTGAAAACATATCAGAGCACAAAAATGACGACTCACAACAAGGAAGTTGAAAAGTCGTCTCCATTCAAAAGGAACTTGCGCCGCTGCTCTGCTCTCTTCTCCTTTTCTCCCATATCGGCGATTCTCTCTTCTCCAAGTTCTCCTTTTTCCCATCCCGGCATTTCTCTCTTCTTCTTCTGCACCCCTCCCTTCCCGATCCAACGCCCCACCTCAGTGCATCTACTTTCAGTGAAGTCCTCTTCTGACAACCAAGACTGCTCACATGAACGCAGCCTGGGAGAAAGGAAAAGAGTGATTCAGAGAATTATCACACGATCCGCACATCACCATCTTCTCCCGAATAGAGCACCGGGTCGCTGTAATGGCTCTATCTGCGGCAACTATCCAGGGATAATGAACCGGTGTGCTCTATTCAGGTGAAGACGGCAGTTGTCCATACAAGCAGGGCAAAGATTGACAAAAAAAACTCACAAGATGCAAGACCCGTTTTGCACCCCCCGTGAACCTTGAAAAAAGTCTAGTCTGAAAAAATTCACAAATTGAAAAAAGTGGAAAAACCTCACAAATTTTCAACATCAAACACCTCCAAGCCAAAACAGAAAGGAAAATAACTGCAAGACATACAAAATTACAAATGCGATGATCGGTCCGAACCCTCCTGTTGGGATCCATAGACACAGCACTGACCGGAATTACAAAAAAGGACAAAGCAAAATTCTACACCGCCATTGAACCCCTTCGCCATGATCAATCAATATCAAACACAACCGGACTTCAATAAATTGAGAAACGAAAGGGAAAAAAAGTCAAAACCAGGATACACAGGAACACAAATCCCTGCTGATTTCTTTTCCAAGTGACGCTAGTGAAAATGTATCGATACATAGGAATGTGTCAGGGCTCAGGACCCTTTTGTAGGGGTCCCCTTACATTTATTATTAATTTATTAAGCATTTTGCTTTACCGATTCCCAACTATATGGTGCAAGACCAGCTGAGAAACTACACTACACATGCTAGCCAACAAGGCTGCGAATGGAATCCAGGAAGTAAAGAATGGCTGAGAACTGAACGCAGGTAAACAATGGGAAGAAACTCTTAAGCACCTCCTACCTACTGTCATGGAACACGGAAGAGAGGGAGAGCGTTTACATGGAACAACTGCACTTCACGACTGAACCTGCACACGGTGACCTTAGCAGCAGATGACCACAGCAGTCTCCCCAGGCAGCCTTTCCAAGCGTAAGCAAATGTTCCCCAATGGAATGCAAAATTGCGGACTCGACATTGAAAGGCATAGGAAAGCAAAACGAGCTTACACACTCACTTCAGACGCACTGCGAGCTGCAGCCCTCATGTACGGACTCCCATTACAGCTCAGACAACCTGCACACGGTGCCCTTACCAGCAGATGACCACAGCAGAGTCTCATCAGGCAGCCTTTCCAAGCAAACGTTTTCCCCGACGGGATGCAAATTGCTGGCACTCCTATTCCACATTAAAAGGCATACAAAGGTATACCGAGCTTGCACAGTCACTTCAGAAGCACTGCAAGCTGCAAGCTGCAGAGTCCAACGATACCTCACAAGTGGCAACAAACAGCAATCATCGAGGCAGGGTACACGGTGTGGAAGGGGTTTTACAACTGAAAGGGGGGTTCTTACTCGTTTTTTATGGCTGCAAGCCATGCAAACAAACAAGCAATGTGAATCCCTACTCGTGAACACGATCTGCCTACCTTACTCCCACTACAGCTCACACACACCAGGTTCCTGCCTGGAAGACTGGAAGAGAGCCCTCGTCCATCTTGACCAGGACGGCGTACCTCCTCACACATACATCTCACATATCACACAGCCCATGTTCCCATGGCTTATGCGTTCCAATTTGCGCCCGTCCATGAACACCTCCATGTACAGCCCAAAAGGCAGCACTAATCAACTAACCCATGACATCCCAAGACTCTTCTGAACTGATTTGCCACGTTAAGAGATCCTTACAACATTGTCATCAACTTAGGAAGCCATCACACTGCCCACCGGCCCCAGCCCGACAGTACAGGGAACTCGCACCTGCATTGTTGGAAACGCAGCATGGTTTGCAACCTCACCTTCGACATCAGGCATTTCTGCTCTTCCTTGACGATTCCAATGGCTAAAAGAACCAACTGCATACAGGTGATTCCCCCACATCGTGTGAACATCGTCCATGCACACCTCAGACGGTCTGTGCTCAGTCGAAAACTCAAAGCCGCAAGCTTCCCCATCCTGAGAGAAGCTATCTGGAGGATAATTTCCAGTCGCACTAGCCAAAGCACTCTCACTCTTCACATGCTTGATAGGCCGAGCTATATGGAGACCCTCATTCGCAATGTTCACAGCCTTTACAGGCATGCTCTCTGCACGCTCCACTTCATCCGCCTGCTGGCCATAATAGTGTCCATCCTGATATTGCTGCTGGTCATGAGGGTGGATTAAACCAACAGCATGTCGGGCGAGGGAGCCATTGTGCAGGTGCTTTGCACTGCTTCCTTGGCTCTGCTTGCTTGCCTTCGTTGTGGACGACTTGTGACGCCGTGCATTGTTGTCTTGCCCTCCACTCTGGGATGCACTTCGTGACTGGTGCCCACTGCTGCTAGAGTGGACTTTTGAGTGCCCTGTTTGGGAGGAACGATGATACTTTCGAGGCCTACTCGCTCGCTGCGTATTGTACCCAGTTGGCCCAAGCACAGTCTTTGCCAAGCTCTCATTAAGCCCATCACGCCCTGGGATAGGTTTGATAACTGCCAATGAAACAAAACACAATGAACCCCCCAATTAGTAAGCATTGTGTCATCGATGGGAAGAGCACCATTCATCACAAGATGTTCAAAACAGAGCAGCATCTCCTCCCCCGTAGTTGGGACAGAAACTTTCGCTCGACGCATGGGCAAAGAGTTTTCAAGATTCCCCTTAGCAATGTAACCTCCTCGAACCTAACCAAGCATTAATTGACACACCAATAGATGCAAATCACGGCAAAATGATGAAAAGTAACACTCACCTACCAAGCCCCGCTCTCCTATTCTTCCGTGCAGGAGCGACAGACAAGGCATGTGGCATACCCCCTCTCTCTCCTGTCCATCTTGTCCTCCCAACCCCAAACCTTATCCCCAGTCCCCCTTCATTCCCCTCTGCATCCATCAGCCCCCTCCTTCCACTCTCCTCAACGTCCTTTCGTTTCTCATGTGATTGTCCTCCTCCGTCACCTTCACCACCTCCAATAGCTCCCGCCTCACACACCCGTGCTAGCTGTGCTCCACGCCAGTGGCAGGGAGGCAGCAAAAGAGGGGAAGAACTTCCGAAGAAGAGTAACAATATGTGATGGTGACAACTGACACCGAGCCCTCTGCACAAATGTAGCTGAATGCCAGGAAAGAGATGGGAGGAAAGGAGAAAAGGGGAATAGATGGGGGGGGGGGGAGGAGATCACATCGCCTTCCATGGACCGACCACATGTGGAGGTGACAACCCCAAGCCCATGACATTGCGTCGAACCACTGTGTAGTGCTGATGGTCGAAAGTTAGGGAATGCATGCACTTTCCACCTCAGGGTATACGCACACTAGGACTTGTTTCAACTAAGCTCTTGATGTGATTGCACTTGGATTCATCCAGGTCTCACCGTAATTGCAGTCATCTACATTTGGGAAAGTGTTCGCATGAGTAGGCCCTCACTCTGGACATAAAGATTCAGATACACACAGGAAAATTGTTCCGTGGGTATGCCCTTGGCTGCACAGGGGGATTGCTTCATACCGCATGCTTCTGTGTTCACCGTGACCTACCGTCTTCCCCCCTGAACATAACACACATGCCTTGTATTTGAGTTTTCGAAACGAATCCATGATTCCAATAGAACGCATATGGGTCTCGCTCCACTACTCTCGACTCGCAAAAAGTTTCGTGAGTCCTTCTAGAGCTGTCAGACGTGCGAAACTCTCGAAAAAAAAGTCTTGGCTCCACTTACTCTAGACGGGTTTGCTCGAGATGCAGTGGCGGAATGAGATGAGCTCTCTGACTGCACTAAAAGACAGCGCCGCCCTGTTCTGATGGTCGAGACACGAGGCGCACTCACGATAAAAAACGGTCGGAGCGGGGTTACGAGGGAGGACACTGGAAAAGCATGTCGTCACAGGCTGGGCACTCTAGACACTTCGAGAGTGCCCTTCGATAGTGCTTTCTGACAGCTCTCGAAGGGCGTTTTCGAGAGCACCTATCTAGAGTGAGTGGAGCGAGGCCTTACTCTCAAAATTTCGAGAGTATATATAGTGGAGCCAGACCCTATGTGTTGTATTCGGACATACAAACTGCTTGAATAGAACGCACGTGTTGTATTCGAATAGAAAGCAACCCCTTTGTTGTATTTGGTTACAACGCATATGCATTATGTTCGGGGGAAGATGGTAGTCGTCAAGTACCCAAAAGCTCGTTCTGGTGTTGCTTGTTTGCTCACAAAATGCAAATGAAATCCAAAGGAAGTTCAACTGCACATGGAAGATCAGGACCAAGGTTATTGACTAATACAAGTCTGTTTTGGTGTTGCTTTGCTTCAGAGTTGAGACTTCTTACACTCAACGTTAATTTGTGAACTCAAATAGCCATTCCAATTCACAGTGCTCCTGATCAATGACTCGTAATGCATGCTTCTGTGCTCACCAGGACCGAGTCGTCCAGTTCTACAAGCTTGTTATTGTTGCTCTCAAAACGCACAGGAAGTCCGACAGAAGTTCAAACTGTACATGGAAGATCAGGACCAAGATAATTGACTACTAGAAGCTTGTCCTAGTTTGACAGAAGTCCAGCAACGGAAGGCCCCTCACATTGTGGTTGTGATCACCACTTTGCTGCCCTCCTTCAATAGGAGCATCAATTGCACACCTGCAAATTGTTTCACAGGCCTGAAGAACAGCGTCCGCAAAACAGAGAGACCAGTCACTACTTTTTTGTTAAAGGAGAAACGGTAATGGCATCCACTAGTTGAGTGACAGAAAATCTACTTACGTTCTTGGTTGAGGTAAAGGAGGTGTGGTACCAGTCCCATGATGAACTTCCGGAACGGCTCACCACTGCACCAACAAGCATGGACGAAAAGAGTGGTGAGACGAGGGGTCAACGTCTATATTTTGCAGCACACGACAGACATCACATCTCAATGCAAGTTGGGATAAAACAGCACAATTCGCAAAATCAACCGAGTGAAACCAGGTGGTCGTTGCAAGGAACACTAGAAAGGCAAAGGGTATACAACAGTCTATCCTCCTCCACGGGACCAATCCATGATGGTCAGGTTCTTCCAGCCAAACAGAAGAAAATAGTGTGGGTTAAACCGGACTGACGCTCTCCAGAATGGACAAACAGTAAGGTCTCTATTTCAACCAGGGAAGGGAATAAAAAAGGGGGGAAAAAAACGAGGTTGTCACTAAACCGGACTGAGGCTCTCCAGAATGGACAAACAGTAAGGTCTCTATTTCAATCAGGGAAGGGAATAAAAAAGGGGGGGAAAAAACGAGGTTGTCACTACGACTGTCTAGAACCACTTCTTGCACCTCAGACGGACACCATCAACAGAATACCCGAATTCACATACACTAGATGACCTGTTGCAGCTTCGCCCGCAAAAACAGAAAACTAAAAAGCACAAAAGAAAGAAAAAGCATAAGGAACTGCCCTATCATATACCGCTTCTTTCACAAAAACAAAAAGAAGGCCCTGAGAGCATATAGACCTAGCAGATCGCTGCTGTTTCTGTCTGTACTGCTCATTTTTGCTGTATATTATACTTGTAGCAGACCAGGCAGATCGCTGCTGTTTTTTCTGGTTCTGCTCTGTTTCTTTTTCTGTTCCTTCTGCTCTGGTTTCACTGCTTCACAGCTGATTTTTGCTGTTCAGGCGCCCTGAGGATAGTTGGTGGATGGCAGGGGCCGGGGGATGGAGGGAGACTTCACTGGTGCCCCCCAGTGACTCCCCCCCCCCACTACCCGGCCTTGCTGCAGGTTAGGATTGGAAGTGTGGATTGGATATGGGATGCTGGACCCGGTTTCCAGCACAATGGCGCCACTTTCAATGATGTACTGTATTACATTGATGTATTCAAGGGACGCTGGACCCAGTTTCCAGCAGGTGATGCTCCCCACCAATAGATGGAGCGGCCCGCCAGGCAAAGCCTCAATCCCGGTGGTTCTCTTACCACCACCAGGATAGAGGCCTTGCACATGGGCCATAAAAAAAAGAAAAAAAAAGAAAAAAAAGAGAAATCCGCGTGCAAGAAATAGGAGGGGATACCACCGAACTTTTTTTGTTTCTTATCTGCGAGTGTTTTGTTTGGGAAGCTGCTGCCTTTGCAGCATCGTTTTTCTTTGGTGCTGTGCAAGAACTGTGAACTTTTATGAGAAAATCCTGTCCGTAGTCCCGTTGACGTTTTTGCTAAAGATTCCGATTCAGACTTTTGTTTTCTATGTTCTCTGAATATGTTTGTTATAAAGCGATCTTGCATGTATGCCTCGTGCTTACTTGCCGAGTCTTGACTCTATGTGCGCAAGTGCATGCGCGTGTGGGTGAGTTCTCTCAGGTTTGCGTTCAATCGATCTTGCACGTATCCCTCTTCCCCAGGCAATGACATGCGCTTGTTGTTGAGTTGGTGGGGTCGGATGATGTTGATGATTGGCCCGGGGAAGTTGTTGGAAGGCGCCTCCAACAACAATAGGAGTGCCACTGATGTGAAAAGCAGGGGTTTTGCATTTTATGAATGATGAAACAATCAGCAGCATTCAATCTGCTTGGCAGTTGCTCTTCGTGTGGGGAACTTGTCGGGAGTAGCGTTGACAGGGGAGCCATAATGCCTGGCGTGCATCTTGGAACATTTCCAGGAAGGCAAAAAGAAACGTAGCACGTGTCAGAGTCACATAATGGACAGCTTGGCACAGTCCCACCCCCCTTCTCTCTCTCTCTCTCTCTCAGTCACATAATGGACAGCTTGGCACAGTCCCACCCCCCTTCTCTCTCTCTCTCTCTCTCTCTCTCTCTCTCTCTCTCTCTCTCTCTCTCTCTCTTCCCTCCTTGACTTCGAACTTGGAACCCTTTACTCCACCTCTCCCTTCCCCCATCCATTTTTCTCTCACACACGTACGAAAAAAAAAGGAGAACAGAAAAGGACAAAAAAGCGTGATGAACCTTCAACCTCCCCCCCAGTCACCGACTTCCTCCTAATCCTCATCGACTCCCCCATCTCCCCCATCTCTCTCTCTCTCTCTCTCTCTCGTCCCACTGCTGACTTTCCCGTAACCGTCCTCCCTTCCCTGTCCCTATCACTCTCTCACACGCAAAGAAAGACGCAARAGGCCGACTTCCTCTAACCCTCCTCCCTTGCTCCGTCTCTCTCTCTCACTCACACACACACACACACACACACACACACACACACACACAAGGGGAACAAAAAGAAATACAGAAAAAATTGCTCCTCGTGGCGCTGCAACGCAGCGTGATTTGGGGCCTTCCAAACTCCACCTTAGCCCCACACATAAGGGGAACAAAAAGAAATACAGAAAAAATCATCTTTCTCTCACACACGTATGAAAAAAAAAGAACAGAAAAGGACAAAAAAGCGTGATGAACCTTCAACCTCCCCCCCAGCCACCGACTTCCTCCTAATCCTCATCGACTCCCCCATCTCTCTCTCTCTCTCTCTACCACTGCTGACTAACCGTCCTCCCTTCCCTGTCCCTATCACTCTCTCACACGCAAAGAAAGACGCAAGAGGCCGACTTCCTCTAACCCTCCTCCCTTGCCCCGTCTCTCTCTCTCTCTCTCTCTCTCTCTCTCTCTCTCACACACACACACACACACACACACACACGCAAAAGCACACATAAGGGGAACAAAAAGAAATACAGAAAAAATCGCTCCTCGTGGAGCTGCAACGCGGCGCGATTTTGGGCCTTCCAAACTCCACCTGAGCCCCACACATAAGGGGAACAAAAAGAAACACAGAAAAAATCGCTCCTCGTGGCGCTGCAACGCGGCGCGATTTTGGGCCTTCCAAACTCCACCTTAGCCCTTCCCCCTCCCCCCATGTTTCCCCCATCCATGACATGTACCACTATCCCTCCCACTCTTCCCCTTTGTCACTGTACCCTCCTTGCCCCATGACTGTCCCTTCCCTCCCACGACGTTGTGCCATGCGCCCCCTCCTCTTCCTCAAACTCCACCCGCGCTATCGCTCTGCACCTCGTCAAATTCTTTCCTCCCCTCGTCCTACTGTGACTTCTGCTGCCCTTCTCTCCCCTCCTTTCCCCAATTCTCACGCGCCCCTCTTCATTCTCCGTCTCTCATGAATCCATTTCTCTCTCTCTCTCTCTCTCTCCCACCTTTACCTGACCTCCGTACCCCACCCAACATCTGCCCTCCCTCCGCCCGACTTCACCCTGCCGTCTTTGCCCTTCCTCCTGGCCTCCTTCCACTTCCTCCTCTTCTTCTTCACGCTTTTTCCCATGCTTGTCTCCCCCTTGCCTCTTCCCTTCCTCCATACGCCTTTAGACCTCTGAACTACGTTCTGCTTTCTGTCCTCCCTTCGCCCTACCCCTTCCGCCTCCCTTTTCTCCCGGCCTCCTCTGGACCTTGTCTTAAACCTCCCTCTGCCCTTCCTCGCCTGGCCACCTGACTCCCTTTCCTTTCTCCGCCTGACCTCCCCTCTATCTCCTCCGTTCTACTCATTCCTCCGCCCAATTTGCACTGACCTCCTCCTTCCCCTAATCTCTTTCCTCCCCTTCCTTCCTTGGCCCGGTCTCCACATGACCTCCTACAGGCCGCCTCTGCAACTTCTCTTCAACCTCCCCCTGGCCTCATCCGCCTGGCCGCCTCATTCCCCGTCGCTCGCCCCCTTCGTTCGCCTGATCTCTGTCTGACCTCCTTCCCTCGATCTCCTCCCTCCCCTCCCTTCCTCAGCCCGAACACCACCTGACCTCTTACTTCCATTCCTCCCTCCGTCCTACTCCCTACCTCCCCCTTCCTCCCTCGACCGGCCGCCCTTCCGTCGTAACGCCCGACGTAAGAAATACTTTCCCTTATCCTTGGACGTAAACGCACCGTTTGTTATCAAGATCGCTCCATTTTTTTAAGATTTCAACACTGTTACGCACGAGCAAGAAGGAGAGACGAAAAGCAGGAGAGAGAAACGCATTTCACCCAACACACTTCGTTCCTCGCACCTTCTTTGTCCTTGTCCGTCTCTTCCACCACCACATCTTCTGCCTCCCCAAGATCTTCCTCCTCAACATTCTCCCTCGGTCTGTTCTTTTTGGAGCGGCCTCATGATTAACTGCCCTGCGCCAGGTATTTCAGGCTATCGATATTTCTTTCCATATTTCATTCTCTTCCTCCCCAATCCCTACACACACCACACTGAGTCAGCTCTCTCTCTCTCTCTCTCTCTCTCTCTCTCTCTCTCTCTCTCTCTCTCTCCACCTCTCTCTCTCCCCCCCCGACACACATCCACCCCCTTCGCTGTGTGCGACCGCACGTGCGAGAGCACACGCTCGCCCTCATTCACATTGAAAGTGGCGCTAAGCCTTAGCGCAAATTGGAAAAGCTAAGAAAAACGGAATACACTCTCTATATCGTCCCCAGATAATAGAGCACGAAGCGAGGGAGGACGGAGGGCCAGTGTAGGTAACGCCACCGGAGGGAGGAGGGAGAAGGCGAGGGAGGAAATAAGGAGAAAGGGAGCGAGGGAGGGCCGATGGGGCGGAGGGAGGGAGGAGAGAGGATCGAGGCAGGAATGGAGGACGGGCCGAGGCAGGAGGGATGGTGATGGTGCCTCTGGTGCCTCTCTCTCTCTCATATATATATCGTCACAAACAGATATATATATATATATATGGAGGGAGGAGAGCGGACAGCCCGAGAGAGAGAGAGAGAGAGAGCACGAAAAGCACGGATCAACGATGAGCACCGAGCACCAAAGAAAAGCACGGAGCACAAAAAGCATGTATCCACAATGAGCACGAAAAGCACGGATCAACGATGAGCACCGAGCACCAAAGAAAAGCACGGAGCACGAAAAGCATGTATCCACGATGAGCACGAAAAGCACGGACCAACAATGAGCACCGAGCACCAAAGAAAAGCACGGATCCCCAATGAGCACGAATCCACGATGAGCACCGAGCACCAAAAGCACGGATGGACGATGAGCACGAAAAGCACGGATCKACGATGAGCACGTGATCATGCACCAAAGAAAAGCACGGATCCATGAGCACGTATCCACGATGAGCACCGAGCACGAAAAGCACGGATCAACGATGAGCAAGCACGGATCGCCGATGAGCACGAAAAGCATGGATCGACGATGAGCACGAAAAGCACAGATCGACGATGAGCACGAAAAGCACGGATCGACAATGAGCACAAAAAGCACGGATCGATGATGAGCACGTGATCATGCCCCAAGGAAAAGCATGGATCCGCGATGAGCACAAAAAGCACGTATCATGAACCACAGAAAAGCGCGGATCCGCGATGAGCACGAAAAGCACGTATCATGCACCAGAGAAAAGCACGGATCCACGATGAGCACGAAAAGCACGGATCCACGATGAGCACGAAAAGCACGGATCGATGATGAGCACGTGATCATGCACCAAAGAAAAGCACGGATCTACAATGAGCACGAAAAGCACGGATCGATGATGAGCACGTGATCATGCACCAAAGAAAAGCACGGATCCACGATGAGCACCAAGCACCAAAAGCACGGATCGACGATGAGCGCGTGATCATGCACCAAAGAAAAGCATGGATCTACGATCAGCACGGATCCACGATCAGCCCGTGACGAAAAGCACGTATCCACGATGAGCACCGAGCACCAAAGAGCACAGTCACACAGAGAGAGAGAGAGAGAGAGAGAGCACGATGAGCACACCGTGTGCCGTTGCGTGCCGTCGCATGCCGTAGCAGCATAGCGTCCGATTGAGAAGCCCGCCTTCGAATGGAGGGCACATATACAGCCCGCCAATGAAAAAGTGGGCGGGCGATTTCAGGGCTGGGCACGGGGGCGCGTTCAGAAGTGGCGGGCAAGCGGGATGGCCGCCCAAAAACAACGGCCCAGATTTGGCGGGCTGGCGGAAAGAAAAAACAACCAAAAAACAACGAAAAAACAACCAAAAAACAGAAGAAACAAAAAGCGGAAGGGCCATTTGGGCCGGCCGTGCGCCACTTCCGGTACGAACCGGTATCGCACGGCCCAGATTGCGGGCCGGTCACCACCCGCGGACGGCCCAGATCGCAGGCTGATGAGAAAAGTTTCTCATCGGCCGGCGATCTGGGCCGTCCGCGGGTGGTGACCGGCCCACAATCTGGGCCCTGCGATATGACGTTAGCGGTTCTTATCAGTGCTAAAAACCCAGTAGGACCGGGGGGTCCTCCCCCAACCGGAACCGGACCGGTCCTACCGGCCGGTCGACCGGGCCGGTTCCCCCCCGGTTGGCTGTAGCGCATCTTTTTTTTTTTTCTTTTTTTTTTTTCTTCTTTTTTTTTAGCCCATGTTGTTGTTGTTGTTGTTGTTGTTGTTTTTAGCCCATGGTGTTGTTGAGGCCAAGGACTAGACCCACAGTGATTGCTGGCAGCGGCAGCCGGTGGTTGTCCTGACAGGATAGGCCACCTTCCCTACCCTTCCCCACGTTAATGCTCCCAGTGCACCCCCTATCCCTACTATCCTACATCAGTGTCAGGACCATCGCCCTACCAGTATCGAGGGCAGTCACCAGACAGCAGTGACAAGCACCCCCCTAACACTACCCCCAACCTTCTTTTCAAAGTTTTTGGGTGGGATGCACCGTCCCTACCCTGCCACTAACACCCCAGTGTGACCAGCACTCAGGACCATCACCCTACCAGTATCGAGGGCAACTTGGGCGAAGCACCCCCTAACACTACAACCCCTACCCCCCTTTTCAAAGTTTTTGGGTGGGAAGTACCATCCCT